TCGATGGCATCCACCTTGAGTGCGACGCCCCGCGCTGATGCTAAATCGGCTAGCCAGGATTCCAATGAGCTCTTGCGTTGCTTACCGCAGAACAGATAAAGAACCCGAAGCTCGCCACCGTGAAACTCCACACCCCCATATCAGTGCCGAGTCAGTGCTTCCCCGCCGTGTCGGCAGGCTTGCGCCTCGGGCAGCCAATGAAGTTATGGTTATGGTCAAAGCAATGGCTACACAGGTGTTTGAACTTGCAATTCGCCAGGGAGCAACCTTCTTCCGTGTTGAACCTGAAACAAATGGGCTCCCCGGTCCTGGTAGCCGCATGCCCCTTGAATGTACGCGAGCTCCCACGCCCTCGCCCTTTCTGACCCTTGCCTCCCTTCTGACCTCTGCCAGGCGGCCTTGCAATCCAGGTGTCACGAGGAGGCAAATTCGGGGGCGGGTCCGGCTTCCGTTTGGCGTAGAGTGACAGAGGAGTCGCAAAATGCCGCTCCTTCGTCACCGGGTCCTTCCAGGCCTTCTCCCAGGCTGCTCCCATGGCTATTGATTCGGTGACCATGTAATGGAAAGCTTGCTTTCGGATGGCCTGCTCGTAGGAGAGGACCAGCTGCCAAGGCGGTGTGTGAACGACGCTGTCCGCCGAATCCCGCGCCTGCAAGTTGTGGAGATAATCCCCCAGAAGATATTCCTTATATCGTTCGAAGAGGTCAGCCCCAATGTCTTGCAGGTCCGCGCGCCCCGGAAACTTTAGCCTCAACATGAGGTAAGCATTTCGCATGATGTTCAAGCGTCGCCGAAGTTCCTCAGGATTTGATGGAAGGGGGACCCGAGAGCTGCCACGCTTTACTGTCATAACTCCTTTCGAGTCCCAGACCGGAACCAAGGTATCCGGATCCAGTTCGTCACGCGTGGTGACCTCCTGCAGGGATTCCGCTTTGAACTCGCCGTGTTCCACCTCCTGTAATTTCTTCTCCAGAAATTCCTTATAGAAGGCAGGACTCGCTCATCCAGGGTGCCATGCGCCTTGACGTATGCCTGTCGCAGCAGAAGATACTCCGCCGTGGGAATGGGTTTTGTCCATTCCCGGGTGTCCTGCTCTGCTTCCACCTCGGCCTGACGTTGCACCCGTACCTTGGACGCCTTCCAGGCTGCGATGAAGGATGCCACTTGCCCCCTGGCAGCTAGGCTTGCCGAGGGGTCCAGCCCAAACTCATCTGCAAGCAGATCGGGTTCCCCGGTCGCAAAAGCACTGAATTTATCCAGCGTGTCCACCCCTGCAGCAAAAAGCTTCCGCTGGTGATCATCCTCTATCCCCTGACGCAGAAGCAGAAATCTGAGGTCACTGGAACCGCGCTCAAGCGCGTCAGCTGCCATGGCATCTGACTACCCCGCCCCAAGGCCTTGGGTCACATGCCACAGATCGAACATCCATGGTTCCTCAAGGAAGGACGCGCTTCCGATCACTCTCTAGCCCAGGCACTTCAAGTGCAACGCAATGCTTCCCCACACTGCAAGAAAAAGGGGATCACACCCTTCTTTCCTCATACTTCACCCCGTGGTGACGCGATCCCATGACCTCGGGGGACTTGTGCCCGTGTCATCTGGAGCCTCGCTCCGCTCTCCATCGGAGTCGGAAGACTCCTCACTCGAGTCGTCGCTCGAGCCCATCACCCCTTCGGAGTTCGGCCAGCAGAGCCTACATCGGTGAGAATACTCACCCGGTTCCGGCATCTCCGAAACCACCTTGCACTCATTGAAGTGCCTCAGCCGCGCCATCCAGCAGCCCTCCTTTCCTGAACGGTGCAACCTGATGGCACCACGTCTGGAGGATACTAAAACGTATCCCGGCTCCCGCTCAGCTGCCGTGGCCTCCTCTTGAGGAGCCTCAGCCTGTTCCTCCACGGCTGCATCCCCTTCAACCTCCGACTCTTGCTGGATCGGCTCATGAGGACCAAGCCGCCAGAGAAACCTGGAAGGATTCCACGATACGTTCCGCCTCCTCGGTCGGTAGTCCCCTCCTGGCCCGAAGCCACGAGAATGCAGCCTCAAGCACGTCATAATCATCAATATCCCCCGCAAGTCGCAGCTTCTCGAGCTCAGCGGTAAAATACCGATGTATCCTACGGATCTTACCAGAAAAGCTCCTACTGTAAATGTCGCTGCCCTCCGGTCGCCACCTTCCCAATGCATCCCTATCCCTAGGGTCCAGGCCGAAGCCATCCAGGATGGTGGGCAAGGTTGCCCGCTCGCTGCGCTCGGTCCACATCTCGACCAGCTCAGGTGGAATCAACCTTCGGCCCTCTGAATCCGTGAGGCGCCTGTTGACAGCAGCAGTCAGAGTGGCAGCTTCTGAGTAGCTGGCCATCCTTCTCCGGAAGCAGCTAAAATCATCACTCAACGCCGGAAGGAAATGATCACGGTTAAAATCTGCATGCACCTGGAAAAGCTGCCAGCCGTCTCTCAACCAGTCCCTATTGCAAATCCACGAGTCCTCGGTGACTGCGACTGGGAGTTCGACCTGTCGCCTCTCCGGTCCGCTGGTCTTCGTCTCGTACAGGGTGGTTGTCAACCTGCCTGAGAAGAAACGGACAGCCTGCGGTGACATGTGCTGGACGTCATCATACCTCAGAGTGCCCCAGCATTTCAAAAGCCGGTAGAAGGCTCCGGCACGGACTCCCATCGCCTCCCGGTTGTTCGACACAAGCCTCTCGAGGGAGGCGATCACCGCACCTGGTAGACGCGGGGCCCGGTGGATAGGGGTCCCGGGCTTCTTCAACTCTTTCACTAAAATATCCCGAGTGGAAAGAAGCACCGTCTTCGAAGAGATCCGACAGTCCTGGGTGAACCCCGCAACCCGCTCGAACCAAGTCAAAGACTTTAAGAAAGCTCCAGGTATCGTGGGCCCGCACGGTCTGTCAGCAAGCATGAAGAGATAATCGATGGCATCACCCGCCACAAAAGGGGGATCCCGGAGTTTCGCCCTGTGCATCCAGAAAAGAAATTCCTCCAGGAAACGAAGATACCTCTTCAAGCTGCTGTTACGAAGCCTGCCAGAACAACCAGGGCTATCTTCTCTTGATCGAAGCCACTCGAAAAGTCGCGCAGGCAAGGGGCCTGGAAGCGCTCCAGTACAACCCTGAACCGGATGCAGAGGCTCTCCCGCTCCTGGCGCTCCATAGCCTGCCTGTCTCCTTCGGAGGCTTCCAGTTCAAACCTGCGCTTGCGTTTGCGTTCGCCCCTCGCAGGCAATGCCAGGTCTGCCGGGAGAGCCTCTGGACCCGCGGTCGCAGGCTCGACTGTCTTGTGTTGCTCATCCCTCCATCTCAAATCCGAGCCGTACAAGCCACTGGCCCTAGCAGACATGGTAGCCTCCACCTTAGCTTCTCCGATGCACCGGGTAACCCAATCAACCACTTCATCATAGAAAGGGAGCCCCAGTTCATCAACCAGCTGCCGCCGCGCTATTGCCCCAGTGTCTTCGAGCTCAAAGGAAGCTAGGTTTTCCCCCCAGAGCTTTGCAGACTGAAGCTTCTCCCGGCAGCGCCTCTCCGCCTCAGGGTCCATTTTGCAGCGCAGTGGTGCCCATGCGCCCCTCCGCTACAACGAGCGCGGCCAAGGCCGCGGACTACCCAGCTCCTATGAGCTTCGAAATATCTCACCACTTGACCCTGTGGCTGCATGCGTTTCACATGTTGTCATGACCGCATCGCAGCGAGAGATTCACATGAAAGTAAAGACAAATAAATTTTCTCATCCTCGGAAAATCAAAAATGCGCACCAAGAAAGGATCATGAAATCTTTTCTTTTACGCAAATGCGGACGCACATCAAATGTGCGAAGCCACGGGGTTTGAAGAGCACACACACTAACGCAACAAGTCGCGAATGCGAGATTGAGTCGCCAAAAGTCAGCTC